CCCCCTCCTGCAGCCCCCTGACCCCCCGCTTTCTGCCCTAGATCATCGAGAAACGGCGCCGCGATCGCATCAACAACAGCCTGTCCGAGCTGAGGAGGCTGGTGCCCAGCGCCTTCGAGAAGCAGGTAGCGCCCGGGGACCCCCCCGCGCTGCCTCCCCCCGGCTCCCGGGAGGAAGAGTCGCCCCTCCTCAGTGTCTCTGGCTCTGCCTAAAAAGTTTCCCCCTTCCCTTTCTCCCGTAGGGATCAGCCAAGCTGGAAAAAGCAGAGATCCTGCAGATGACTGTCGATCACCTGAAAATGCTGCATACGGCGGGAGGGAAAGGTAGAGTTTCCTGCCTGGCAGGGGCCCGCAGCCCTGCAGAGGGGCTGCTGTGGGAGCAGGGCAGTCCCCAGGTTTGCTGCAGCGCCCTGTGGGAGCGCTTGTGGGAAGCGAATGGAAGCTTCCATGTTTCATTAGGAATTTGGGACTTTCTTCTGCCTGACAAGATTTGCAGCACCGCTCCCTCTGCAAGATTGTACAAAGCTTAGCTCCGGGTCCTTCTAGGGGAGAGTGATTCCAAGTCTCTCTAGCAATGTGTCAGCACCGTGGGGTTCATGGGCTCTTGGCAACTTGGAAAACAAAAAGTTTTTGTTGTTGTCATAGGTTTCTCTAACTTTCTGAAAGTTCTGGACGTAAACTAGAAAAAAAAAATGATGAAAAGAGTAGTGAAGAGGATTAGCAAAAACGATGAAATGCATTTTTAGGAAAATAGGATGTTGCCTGCAGAAGTCCTCTCTGTGTTTCTAATGAGTTTCACTGCACTGTGGTTTCGTTGCACTGGGGAGACATGGAAAAAACAAAAGTACTTTCCTTCAGTGGCAGTGTGCAATTTCAGTTTAAAAGTGGCAGTCTGTGACTGGTCTTGGGACTTGCAGCATCACAGCACAGATATAAAAGAAAAGCTTGTTAGACAAAAAAAGGGAAAAAAAAAAAAGGAGCTTGGCAGCTAATCTATGGTTGGGAATACTAACCACATCCAAGTGAAATATGCTTATAGGGGAGGGTGGAGTGGGGAGGCTACATGCAGACAATGACTAGAAAACATCATCTTAAGACGCCATTCTTTGTTCTTTTCTCTTAGGTTATTTTGATGCTCATGCTCTGGCCATGGATTATCGGAGTCTGGGGTTCCGGGAGTGCCTGGCTGAGGTGGCTCGATACCTCAGCATCATAGAGGGTCTGGATGCCTCCGACCCGCTGCGGGTCCGGCTCGTGTCTCACCTCAATAACTACGCCTCTCAGCGGGAAGCAGCCAGCAGTGCACACACTGGCATCGGACACATTCCTTGGGGCAGTGCCTTTGGACATCACCCTCACATATCTCACCCATTGCTGCTGGCTCAAAACGGGCACGGTAATGCCAGTAGTGCGGCATCATCCACAGAACCACATCACCAGAACAGAATTGCCGCCCCACATGCTGAAACTTCCTCACTCAGAGTGCCCCCAAATGGCAGCGTTGGACCAGTGCTCCCTGTGGTCACGTCTACTACCAAACTGTCTCCTCCTCTCCTCTCCTCCATGGCATCCCTGTCTGCATTCCCTTTTTCGTTTGGCTCCTTCCATCTGCTGTCCCCCAACATGTTGAGCCCGTCTACACCAACGCAGTCAGCAGCCCTTGGCAAACCATACAGACCCTGGGGGACTGAGATTGGAGCCTTCTAAGAACTAACTCCTAGTAAGGGTGGGGAAGCCTACGAACCCAGCTGAGCTGGGTTTCACCACACTTAAAGTTCAAGTTCTTAATAACTGGGACAAAGGTACAGCTTCACCTTAACTAAGTTTGTCTAAAAACTGTCTCTTTGGATTTTTCTTTTTGTTTTCTACATTTTTGTATTAGCAATTTTTTTTAAATAGTTGCTGAAGTTGTCCAAAAATGAAGTTACACTAGTGGTTGTTAACACTTGTCTTAGATCTGTGCTGAGCATTTAAATCAGTTTTGTAAACAGTTTGTTTCAAATGTTTCGTTTTTCCTGAGTACGTCAGACCGTCTTTTTATGAAGAGGTATCACCTGTTACTGGCCTAATTTTAGTTATGTTGGGTTTTTTTTTCCAAAAACACTCTTCTCAGCACTAACAATCTATGGGGGTTTTTTTTAGTGTTTTGACACTGAGATGTTCTATAAAGAATTACTCTTTTCATAAACTTATATTTGAGTCTCTTATTTCTGAACAAAGCGTTGACAAATCAGATGGACCACCTTGACCAGCTTCTTCTGAGAGCCCGATTTCTGTTTCTTCTGTGGTGGTTTTTTATATTAGGTGGTTTTATTCTAGTCCCTAGTGGACATGGACTCACATCGCAGAAGCACCACACTATTTCTTCCACCAAAAGGAGCAGTACGTGCTTGAGAGCAAACCCCAGAATGGAGAGGGTACAAAAGTAAAATTGCATACTATGTTGGTGGTGGGTTTAATTGCTGGGGAACTGAAGGGAAAATGAAGTTGCCACCTGCAGTAATTTTCCAGGTGGACACAGTCGTCTGTGTACTGATTTCACAAGGCCGGATTCTGCTTTGAGTTACAGTGGAGTAATTGTTCTCTTACCCTGTATTCTTGGGTAACAGATCAGACTCCCTCTTTGAGCTTCACGTTTGCACCTGAAAGGAATGATGCTGGTATTTAAATAGCCAATGGAATGGTACAGTGGGAACTCCTCCAGTGTGCAGCCTTGTTGCTCAACAGATGTATCCCAACTGGTTGATTTTTCTATTGCGTTTGACCTTTAGGTGCAGTTCAGTGCCACTCCTCGTTTTGTAAGGGCTCTGCTGCATTCTTCTGTGCATGAGACTGTGTGCGTGTATGCATATATTTTGATTGATTTAATGGGAATCTTAATCCAAACAGGTTTATCTAGTGAGTTCCACTGGATGGGGTTTGGCTGCTCTTGTATTTGTGTTGTTGCTAAATAAAGGAAAAAGAACCAAGTATTTTAAATGACATGCTTGTCTGATGTATGACAGTGGAGAGTTCTGTGCCTGCGGGTATCGTGGGACATGTTGAACAATTGCTTCTCAGTCTTGCTGTGGGCATTTGTATTTACTTCTTTTCTCTCAAATATTGTGGCATACTTGGCTACATCAAGAACCACGATGCCTCAGAATTGCAGCTGAGTGAAGGAAAATTTAGGACACACTTTCTGTGTCACTTTTACTTGCTCGTGGGTGGGCAGACAGCAGAGACACCAGGGTTACAGCTAAAGAAATTAAAGCTGCACTGCCCCTGAGTATTCTTTCTGCTTTGTCTTAATATTAAAAAGTTACCATCTTTACAAATGCAGAATCTCTCCATGTCTAAGTCATGAAATCTTTATCTGTCCTGTAGCTCTGTAACAAAGTTTTGTACCTGGGTCTGGTTTAGCTCATGTTCAGCGCAGTAGTGTGGAATCTGCCTGAGGTGTCTGACTGATAGAGCATTTGTTGCTGAGAAGTATTCCTGGTGTCTTGCACTTCTTGAAGTAACAACCTGGCAGGCTTACACATAGATAGAAGCTTTTCTCCAGATGTGATCTGCCCTACCTGCAAATCTCTATCTGCAAAACATCAACTACTTCTGGAAGAACCTCACTTTCTTTCCTGTGCATTTGAATTTATAGTACACTTCTGCTGGTAAATGGCATGTCCTTGTCTGGATTTAGCTCTGCCAGAATAGCAGAAAGAGCTCAGCCCTGTGGGAGATGAGAGCTTTGTTTAAAGAGGGGCTCTCGGGCCAATTAAGGAGTGGCGTTGATGAGAGGCTTTCTCGGAAGAAGGATTGCCGTGAGGCTGGAGAGAGTGGAAGGGCATTCAAGTGCGTAACCTTGTTTTACCTTCTTCCTTAGGCTGGAGGGGGACCACTGCTAGAAATAAAAACACAGTGGGAGCTGGAAAATACATAGGTGTTACCGAGGAGAGATTCTAGAACATAGTATTTCATGTAGAAACATGAAATAAGAGGCAGTAAAATTCCAAAGCCAGTTTCCTTTTCACAGAGTGTGCTGTCTCCTGTTTAATTATGCTTTGCCCTGTCCCTAATAGGTTTTTATACCAAATTAGCAACTCCTACCTAGAAGATTGCTATAGTGCATGCAACTATTCTTTAGATCTTTTAATAAATGGCAATGCTTCTCAGCCTTTTAATGGTTATTTCATTGACATTCAAATGACTTTCCCTGCCTCTAAATAGTTGGCTCTTTTGTGTAGAAAGACCCCTATAATTATTTTTGTCCCACTGTCCTACCCTTGAATGGACTTCAGAAGGAGAGAGTGCAATACAAGTTTAGCTGTTGGGGTTTGTGTCTATATCCCTTGTCTTCTCTTTCCATTACCAATGACAAAGGCATAAGTGAAAAGGACTAGTTTTATTCAACTTTTGCAGTAAGTCTACATTAATTTTTAGAGACTCAAAATCTACTGATGGGTATCATAGAAAGAGATGAAAGAATTCTAGGAACTCGCAAAACCTAGCTATACAAATGGGAAAAGCATGTTCCGGAAGCTGAAGTACCAGGGTTGGAAGTACAGGGCTGGATTACTGCTCGTGCTGCTAACTTTGTAAATCATGGTTAGCAATCACTTAATCTGTATCTGTTCTGTCAGCTGTGAAAAAGGGACAGCAGATCTTGTTCTTCTTTCATCAAGAGACAGCGGTAGTTGGACATTTTCTGTATGAACAAGAAATGCTGTTGTTTCTCAAAAACTACAGTTCTGAGCTGTAGGATACCAGGTTTCTGAAGACAAACTGAGAAAGGCAAAATAAGCTTGCTTCTAAAGACAACAGATATCTCCTGAGCCCCAAACATTTGTTTGTTTACCCTGTTGCAAAAGAGCAATTCAGGACCGAAAGCTTAACCAGAGGGGTGGCAGAGAAGAAAGGAAATGCATATGTGACTTGATCCCATGGCCTCCCAGCTACCTTCAAGTGCTTTGGATGAACTGTGTCTGTCCGGAAATCCTCAGGCTAAAGCTTTGTGTGGGATGTAAGATGATGTGGTATTTCATATAAGCAAATATTATCTTCCTTTATCAAGGAAGCTGGATTTGAGTGCAGAATAAGATTAGAGGGGCTGGTAAATACCGCATAAAGCCAGATACAAACCTTTTGAAATCCATTCTGTGCTTTGGCATAAAGAAATAGCTCATGAAAATGACATTTTTTAGCTTTTGGAAAGAAGCTGTCAGTAGTTCTTATGACAGCTTCTGTTCAGTGCTCCCATCTTAATACTAGTAGTGTGACAGAGTTTATTAGGATCATGCTGAAAACCCCACGAATCCTGGCAATTGCTCTCTTCACTCACACATCAGTATGTGAGTCCCCAGGTGACAGGAGCCTTCCTAGATTATTGCATAGTCCTGGGAAGCCTGCCAGTTTGGTGTTTTTTTTTTTTTTTTTTTTTTTCCAAGCAACAAACAAGCCCAAGAGACCACAGATAAACTGAAATCCTTCTTTCTGTGCATATTCACAAGCACTTCTTGCCAGAAACACCCAGTTTGGATCATAACCTACTCTATATGGAGCTGGATAACTGTAGCAAATAGTGTGGAGGTCATGGGCAACAAAAATAAGTTGCAAAGCCCTTTTCTGAGGCCTCACATGAAAGGCTGCAGAGATGGGTTGTGATACTTGCCAGGTGACTCAGTATGCTAAAGCATGAATATGTCCATTAACCAGCATACCCAGCCTCTCAGGGCAGCATGTGCTTTGCCTGTCACAGAATGCCTCTCTCTCCACTTCCCTGGCTTATAAGTAAAAATTAGAACAGTGTCTTTCTTCTGTACCCAGGAGATGCAGGTACTGACTCATGCTTGCAGTACAGCAGCTTGACTGGAGCAATAAAAATTGAAATGCCAATGCCTAGTGAGATACAGATACTTGAAGGTGTCTTTTCAGAGTCTGAAGTGTTTATTTGGTGAAAGCCTTTATTAAGGAAGTGCTTGGGTATTATATGTTGTTCTCTCTTATTCCAGCTGTTCCCATGCAATTTTTTCTTCAGCAAATTCTACTGATTATTCATACAGCTTGAAGGAGTGGACCAAACTGCCTTGCTTTGACCTGTGCTGTGTGGGCCCTGCCCAAGCCTTCCCAGCAGAGCAGAGTTCATGGACAGAGGTTCTCTTCCAGCTGTTTCTTTTTTCTTCAATGCATCAGGTAGCACAGCTGTATAATGCAGGGGGGGTTTACTGAAGTGCTCAAAACAGCTGAGCCTTTGAGGCATTCTGTGCTGTTTATAGAGTTCCCAACCACAATACATTGCTCAGACCCCTTCAGAGTCTTTTACCAGGCTGCTTTCTTCAGGAGAAGCCTCCTGGAAAGGAATGGGGGGG